GGTCGCGTGAACTGTCATAGGTCGCGCGACCAGTCATTGGCCTATGATCGCGCCGACAACGCGTGCAGATCTGCACGCGTTGTTGTGGTTGAAGCTTTACTAGGTTACACACTCAGAATACAGAACAAACCAGAAGGAGTGTTCGATAACATTTCTACGCGGCAACTTGTGTCCAAAATACTTCCCCTCCCGCGCCCCTCTACCCCCTTTAGTGTTACTAGCGCCGTGTGACACCCCCATTTTTGGGGTAAAATTATGTAATTTTTTAAAGAGATGTTAAACAAGTAAAAAATAAGTAAGTGAAATAAGTACACACGGCCAGTGTTAACTATCCATTTCCGTTTTTGCTCTCGCTCTTATCAAATGGTGATTCTTTGCGATAGAACGAGACGACATGACTGGCCATAGGCATAGATAGTACCTACCTACCTATGAATTTAATTTTTACTCCGAAGTAACTAAGTGTAAGATGATTATTTATTTCTATTAAATAGTGTAATATATGTACTATATTTTATGTAGGTATAATATGTTATTTAAAAGTCAATTACAAAAGTCGAATATAAATTTTAGAATGCCAAGTAAAACAAAAAAGAAACTTAAGGTTCTTTATTATGTAAACATATCGACAACAAAACATTTGTTTACGGCGCAGTAGTGCTTTTAGTTTAACTTTTCTTGGAGTCAAAAACAGAATCCAAATCAAAAACATCACCAATACTTAAATTTGATTGCGAGGCAACTCTGGCTGTGTATCCTGAAAAAAAATCAGAGTAAGTATGTAAGCAATAATTAATTACTTAAAATTATTATTAAATATACAAATATTGCTGCTGCTGATCTGTTGATACCAATGCCTTACTTTTGAATAAATGGGAAAGTATGAAATTCACGATAGTAATTTATTATCTCCTCATTATTAGGGAGTAATATTATAAATTAATTCAATATATTGAAATCAAATCAAAATCAAAAATATTTATTCAGTTTAGACCACAAGTGGCACTTATAATTTAATTAATCAGGTTGTCATGTCATGGATGAAATTACACTAAAAACTAATTAAAACAAAAAGGATGGGGAAAATATTCCATTATTCTGTGGTAACGCTAACAAAATTAACGCGTGAATTTTTTATAAGTAGACAAATGTAATTCAATATAAAAAAGTAGGGTAAAATATTCCGTTGACCTGTGGCAACACTTACAAAATACAACCGTGATTTTTTTTGAAAATTATTATTTAATTAAAATGAATTGGAAATGTGCTACTTACGGATAAAACATGATCCCATGCACTTTCTTCGTAATTCCAGTAGCATTCTTACATGTTGGAACGGCACAAGACGGCATAATTTAATTATAAAGTGTCAATCTGACGGATATGTAAACAATGCGCGCGCCGGCCATTGACTGATTGCTTTAAAGTCAAAGTAGTGCGATTTGGAGTACTTTATATGAATACACATTTACGCCCGTTGACGGTTTCTGGTTTGTTCCGTATTCTGAGGTTACACAATAGATGACTTAACTTGTACAGTCAGCGTCAAATAGTTCGTGACACCCGTGCTCGTGACCAAAAAGTTGATAACACAACCTTATTCCAATTGTAACTAAGACGTGTTGCGAACTTCTTGGCTACTTTAGGTGTCACGAATAATTTGATGCTGACTGTAACTACTCACTTTGTGAAAACTCCACATAGACATCACTCCATCAGATTCTAAATGTTTATAGCAAAATAACTCTGATTTAGAACCCATACGAATAAGAAGCCGGTGAGCTTTCATAGTTATGGCATTGAATTGTAATCGTAAAGTTTGTAAAAAACGTTAATATAATCAGAAAAAAGTAATCTTGTAACTTTAGTTACATAGAAGCGACGAAGTGGTTAGGGAGTCAGTTTGAGTTATCCTACTACGTATTATTCTATTATTTTATAATTATCCGAGCGAATAAAAAGATACGAAATATGTTTTAGAAATATAGCGCTAACAGTGTTCTCGAAAGTAATTTAGAACAGCGAGATTTTCATTAATAAATAAATAAGTGCTCTTTGATAAAATAATTTTGTATCTTGAAGTTCGTAAAAAGGAACATGTTTATGATATTAATATTTTTTCAGTCAATCATTATAAATTGTTCTCGGAAATCTGTCTAGCTCCTGATTGCTAAGGAAACTAGTAAAATAAAAATCTAATTTAAATTATCATCGTTCATGACTTCACGTGTGACGTAATATTTCTTTGTCGTTCGTCTTACATAAGTATGCAAAATTTCAGCTCAATGTCATCAGGAGTGGGTCAGATTGAGCTTGACATTTGATTACCGACTTATTGACATCTGAATATTAATAAAGTGCATTCATAATAATGAGATATATTGGACAAAGTTCAGCAAAACCAAAAAATATCTAGTGTATCGACAGTGTATCAGTAAATTCGATTCGCTAGGAAACAGGATCGATGGATTTTGAGTTCATTAGGTCTTGCTATTAGGTATTGATAAAAGTATCTAATTACTACTTATCTAATCAAAACTTGCTTCTACTAACGTAATGTCTTCTATTTTATGATCGCTGTATAATCTAACACGTCGAGTTTATTATCCATCTTTGAAAACAATAAAAAATAACAAGCAATGTTACTTTAACGTGCTTAAAGTGTAGGTACATAAAATTCCTGTCCCTTACAGTGTCACAGGGCAAACATTTCGGAGCTAGTAAATATCACGGCAAGATAAATATCGTGTCAGTCACGGTCAGTCACAAAGGCACGGAATATACCTCGCATGCCGGGCACACGTCCCCTAATCCGCGACCTTACTTAATCTTTATGGAGGGTGTCGCGACGAGTATTTTTATATCACGTGACAAGTGTGTTGACATCACTACATATCTACTATATAAAAATAAGTCGGGTTTTCCTCCCTGACGCTATAACTTCAGAACGCACGAACCGATTTCCACGGTTTTGCATTCGTTGGAAAGGTCTCGGGCTCCGTGAGGTTTATAGCAAAGAAAATTCGGGAAAAGGGGGTAAAACAGGATCCACGCGTACGAAGTCGCGGGCGGCCGCTAGTTCAGTATAAAGTCATTGAGTAATACATACAATTTGAACGTTGAAAACTTAACAATGAATGCGTTTAATAGTAGATTAATTTTTCATTAGCATATTACTTCTGAAATTACTCGGTAAAATGAGATTAAATTGTAATAATAAAGAGACTAGAAAACTTTGTCTAACGATATATGTATTAATAGGATCAAGAATGAAGAATTAATTAACTTCAGTCAACAACGTTTTACTGAGAATATCAGACTAGAATTTAAAAGTTAATGGTTTATTAAGTGAGTTGTATTAATTTGAATGGTCTCAGGACGAATTTAATGAGATCCAGATCCCAAGGGAGAGATGTCTTGATACGTCACTAATAATTACAGTACACAGTGTAACAAATCAAACGCATATTGTGAGTTTAATATGTTGCAACTTTATAGTATTGGTTTCTTGTTACTATCACCTAAAAGAAGCGGTGATTTTGAATGTATCGAATGTGGCATATACCAAACGATGGAGTCTACTCTACATCACTATGAAAAAGATTCAGTACTAGAAAGTCAACAGGCCTAGTGTCCCTAGAATTGTATAGTCTAAGTAACCTTTCCCTCCATGCATCACTTGAGATCCTATTTCGTTAGTCACGAAACGGTTGTTTATTATACAAAGTAAAAATCCAACAGTAGGCTTACTTCAAAATAAGCATGTGAAGCGATGTGAACAGCGGCCCTGGGCACATAAGGATCATGGGAGGCGCTTCTCAACTGGAGAAAGATCTTTTATGAGAACAGACGGGGCCTCCACAATCGCGGGGCCCTGGACACCTGCCCAGATTGCCCATTGGGAAAGAGGGGCCTGGATGTGAAGTATTATAAAAGTATTCATTTCAGCGAGAGACAGACTTATTCATACTTTGTGTACCTTTGTCTGCCACATATCACGTAAAAAATCCATTACTCTAAGTGAATAATTTATTGGTGAAAATCCAGAACGTATTGAAGGTATTCGGCAAGCTCTATTTTTAACTTCTGCTTGACATTTTGTTTGGTACACTTCATGTAGTCTACCTTGTTGTTTGAATCTACTAAGCTCCACTCCGTTGCGTTATGTATGAGCACCTATAAAATATTCATATTGTAAATGCGATCTGTGATACAATTTGCAAAGAGAAGTATCGTCCTCAAACTACATTTCATGATTTGCTTTGTCTAGCAAAAAAGGGGCCATAATCAAACTGAGTGATGCCTACAATTTTCCCCCCAATATTTCACGGGGAATCCCAGGTGATGCGAACGAAATAATGTACAAATATGGCTGGGACTGTGCGCTATTTTCTAATAATAACGTGAACGTTGACATTTTGCAAGACGTTACACGTTACGTTCCAATTTGCTAACCCTTGCCTTGGAAATATTGAAATGTATTGAGCTTCTATTTTTCAGTGATAGTATAACGCGTTAAATATTAATGGTAGACAGTGACATAGGAGTAGTACACAAATAAGTGTAGAATAATTGGACTATTGACCATTGCATGAATGTCACCTGCTTCTTTTTCAATTAATCTTTCTTGTGTTGACATCAATTCGAATACGGTTTAATCAAAATTTCCTAAGGTTATCAAGTCCCCAACCGATCAGACTATGTTTATAGTCATAAGATGCCTGGTGTTGATGTTCCATCGTCTTCATTACAAAAGAACTTAGACCTGTCTAAAGCACTCTAGCTCTACATCATCGATTCTTGTGCCAAATTCAATTAAAACTATCTCTAAATTAAAGTAGACAAACACAAGATAACGCGGGAAGCGCTGGACGCAGGCCGCTACCAATCGATCAACATGGAAAGCATTGGGGGAGGCCTATGTTCAGCAGTGGACGTCCTATGGCTGAAATGATGATGATGATAAAACACAAGATACGCGAGTTTTAAATCTTAAAAACCTATCTCACCTGTGGCTCATCGTTCAACTTGCGGTGGTGTTCGTGGCTCGGCTCTGTGGATCGCTTGCGCACCTCGTGGTGTGACAGCAAGTAAAAGTGCTTCAGGGAACCAATCTGTAACAAGAGAAAATAAAAGAGTTACAAAGAGTGCTAAATTGAGTCTTCGCTTGTTTATACAAGTTCACCCTTTTTTCTATTAGGTAAATATTTTGTATAGGTACCTATGCCATTCGTTGGAGAAACTCTTACTTGTGTATTCATTTACGTTTGAAATAAATACAGTTTATTAGAATAATAAATTTAATCTGACATAAAGGCAAAAGTTTGTATTTCTTATCCCCATAATCCGCGAGAACAATCACTACATTTATCGCGTTCAAAAACGTCTTAAGTTCTAGTACTAAACTATTTTACGTGTACTAAACTCCATCACGTCTCCGTCGTAAAAAGTGAAATATTCGTCGCAATCACGACTCAAACTCAACCCATTCGCTCATTTAAACAAAGGGATTAACTCAACTGACTTTGTCGTAAAAGCCGTCGTATTCGAAAACATTCCCCGTAATTTATTCAGATTGCCTGTCGACCGAAATTAGTGTACTAGAAGAAAACTTAAATACTATACTTATTTGGCTTTCGGTCAGTAATAAATACGAAAGCACGCGATTCGGCTATCAGAAACGCCATCTTTACTATTCTAATTTGAATCCCGCTAAGTTTTGAGATTAATATTTTTATAACTGTGAAACAACCGTGGCATTTTACATGAGTATTTGGCCAGTTTTATTTCTCTGGAGCATTATGTTTTTAAATTAACGTGGCCCTCATTTTCGATTCAGCGGAGTTACTTAAAAGAACATTTTTTGAAAGTCTTTCTCGATGTGTTACGGTTATGTAAAAGAAATGGAATAATTATGATCGATTCATAGAAAGCCATGGACTTATCTTTGTCATGAATTGTCTCACTTTTAGGTACCTATATGAATTTATTGGTAAGGATTACGAATTGATAAAAAAACTAACATTATAACATACATTAAGTTACTGATTCTGAGTCGCTCCTAAAAAGGCAATACTTGGCAAAGTCACCCTGTATATTTTTTTATTAACTTTCAATTATTCGATTTGATATCGAGTAAATGGAATAGAATAATTCGCTAGAGTTGTAACATCCATAGCAACTCTAAAGTAAGATTCATGTTTTAACAACAAAAGATAACGAATGCCGCCTCACGGAGATACCGTTTCAAACATAAAGCCGACTTTATTATGGTCTATAATCCCTTGTAATATTCTCGAGGTACTTCTACTAGACTTATTTAACTGAGGTAAAGAATGAATAAAGAACTGTAGCAGTTTTGTAGATTAATGCTTTTGTTATTCAAGTAACATTTCCTTGTGAACTGACGTTTATAAAATTTGAGGGAACTATACATTTCTGTAATGGTAGCGTATTTAAATTTTATTTGATGTAGTATGTACTAGCTTTCCGCCCGCGGCTTCACCCGCGTGGAATTTTGTATGTCACAGAAAAACTTTATCGCGCGCGTCCCTGTTTCAAAAACCGGGATAAAAACTATCCTATGTCCTTTCCCTTGACTCAATCTCTATGCCAAATTTCAACAAAATCGGTTCAGTGGTTTAGGCGTAAAAGAGAGACAGACAGACAGACAGAGTTACTTTCGCATTTATAATATTAGTATAGATTGCAAACTTGTTAGACTGAGTAGTCTTTTTAACGAATCACTTAGGAAAAGTAATCTAGATGAGAGGCTTTAAAAAGACTTAAAAATATGGTTTGGAGATCCAATCCTTCTAATAGATATTAAAATTTGTTATTGTACTGATTAATTTCGTTGCGGGTCCTATAACAGTTTAACTTTCCCCCGGGACGAACTTGACCTTCACTGGTTGGGTTTTTATTGGCGGTCAGGCTGTAACTACACAGCAGTAGCAGCGGTGGGAACGAGAGGTGGGAATAATGCTTCAACCACACCAACGCATGCAGATCGCCATCGCCGGCGCGATCAAAGGCCAATGTCAAAGGCCAATGACAGGTCGCGAGACCTATGACAGCCTTGATCGCGCCGGCGATGGCGATCTTTGGTGTGATTAAAGCTTTAATGTATTTACAAAAGTGTGCTCCTAGCGAACTGTGGTTTATGCAGGAAGAAAATTGTGTAACAAAAAATCAATCGCTTGATACAAGAGAATGCTTCAAACTACGCCAACCAGCCGGCAGGTTTCAAATTGCTATATTTTTATCTCGTCCCACGGAAATCTAAGTACGTATAACATGAAACGGTAACTGGATTTATTATGGAAACGGACCAAATAAAATTCGCGTAAGTTCCCGTGCGGGGAAGAAACAAAACAGTGTTACCGGCGCCACGCGTTCTCCCCTTTTATCCTGAATTTATTCTGGCGTAAGGACTCATCCACAATCATCTGAAATAGATATCTTTTCTTCACGGTGACATTGAATATGAACTCTATATAAAAATATTAAGCAGTAAAGCGTAAAAGGTGGATATAGGCGGCTACCGGCCTATCTGGAAATCATTAGGGGAAGCCTATTTCAGCAGTGGACGTCCTGGGGGCCTACTCTGAAACGTTATTTACGTAGTTTTGGTCTATCAGTCAACGTCGCTCATGCTGGCATTTCGCTTTGTGTGAGAGGGATGGCAACATTCGAACTTCAGATGACGTTTTTCGAAGTAACTCCGCTGTGACTGAGATAGTGATGAGGACAAGGAAAATTTGAAGTGGGTTTTACTCAGATATGGTACCTAAATCTGTCGCGATTTACTCGCTGTGAGTCAGCAGCATTATTTCAACTTGTTGACTAATAAAGTGTGATTTTTTTATTTATTTTTAATAAAAGCAACGCAAGAAGCTTTTGGGTAGTGGCCATTATATTCTTATATCCAATACTCGTCTAGCTAAGCCAACGGCTCAGACTGAAATCCCGTAAGTTCATTCAATAGGTCCTTGAGTAACGAAACGACCAAGCCGCTCATTTTTATTTTTACTAAGGTGTAGGGTTTGTAGAGAACTTAACACTAGGCTATGATTTTCGTAAAACGCGATACGCTATAATAAAACTTAGGGAGTTTGCCTCTTGAATGCTGTTAAAACATTGTACAAAATATAATCTGGTTAATTTTTTAGAGTCGCCACAATATGGTTCAAAAACTGAACTACGACAAACGTTTCTCCGACACCATTTCAATTCCACATGAGTTGTTTTGCCTTTGTAATTTTATCATAATCATCAGGTAATTTAGTCTCCACTGCATAAGCACGACCCTCTCTAATTCACCAGAGGCAAATGGAGGATCTATCGATTGGTAGCGGCCTGCATCCAGCGCTTCCCTGCCACCCTTACGATGTCGTCGGTCCACCTTGTAGGTGGACGTCCCACGCTGCGTTTTCCGGTACGCGGCCTCCATTTCAGAACCTTTCTGCCCCATCGGCCGTCAGTTCCGGTAGGCCGCTACCAATCGATCAACATGGAAAGCATTGGGGGAGGCCTATGTTCGGCAGTGGACGTCCTGTGGCTGAAATGATGAAATGGAGGATCTGGTCTATCTACGCCGGCCAGACGGGTTGGGGAGACCTTCGTTTGTTCGTTTCAACCAAATGACGTCCACTGCTGGATAAAGGCCTCCCCTGAGGCTTTCCATAATGAACAGTCCTGCGCTGCCCGCATCCAGGTTCTTTCCGCGAACTTTACCAGATCGTCGTCGGTCCACCTAGTAGGAGGCCCACCTGGGGAGACCATAGATACGCCAGTACTCTTCTTAGCGTTACTTTAAATGAAAATATTTTTAGTGTGACATCATTTGGAAAAATATAATCCAAATTACTTTACCCAAAACAACTCGCATGTGAATACCGCGTTACCGCGTCTTGTCCGAAATAGGGCTACAATTAAATTATTTGGCGGTTCGCGCGGGGGCTTTACGAGCCGGCCCGTTGCTATTAACTAACTCCCCGCTATAGCTCATGTCGAGCGGTAACTATTTAGTGTGTTATTTTCACTCAAATACTCTCCAGATAACGTGTACAGTCAGCAACATATAGTTCGTAATATCTAGTAGCCAAAAAGTTAGCAACACGTCTTTGTAACGATTGGAATAAGGTTGTATTGTCAAATTTTTGGCCACTTTGGGTGTCACGGACTATTTGACGCTGACTGTACAGTCAATAGGACGTCAGAATATACATTTCTGTTGCAAAATTGGACGTATTTATTACCACTGCATGAAAGTGCCATAGAGTTAAGCTTTATGTGCCATCATCTGTACTACTCGTAAATAGATGTCTGGGCTCATAAATCTTTTTTGAACCCGTAACTCCTATTGGTTTTTTTCTAGTCCCAAATTATCTTATTTCATCATATATCAATCAGGTGATCCGTCTGCTCGTTTGCCTCCCGTCACATAAAAAAAACATATCGAGCAACTCTCAATACACATTTCATATGTACAAAATATATACCTACTTCAACAACAAAAATAAAAGATTATACATATACATTTAGTAGGAGTCCATTAATATACATTCAGATATTGTTTCTCCTACATTAGTAGGGTTGATCCATAAACAAAATAAACATTACATTGTGCGGTACTGAGTCAATACGCTCGTCAAATTATTATCAGTTATTTAACAACGAAACAATAACAGTAAGCTGTTAACTGTTTTTGATATACTAATAAATATGTAGGGTTGATGAAATAATTTTATTTATTAAAATTTAATTTGTTGATCAAAATATTGGTGGATTGTGGTCGAACAAAGCTATTGTTATTAACTCGCATCCTTTAATTTAGTGGATGCCCATTCAACGAGACAAATAGTTATAATGCCACAGCGGTGAATGAGCGATTGAGTGATGCTAGGGTTACTATGTCCATACCATGCGGTGATTGACATGAACTAAAGCTCTATAACATAGCTCAAACTCTACTACTGCTTAACGTTTACTTGTGTTTTGTTTTTTTATGTTTACAGAAGGATGAATCTACCAATACCAAGTATGTATGCTTTGCTTGAAATTATTTTGATTTTTTCTCAAGATTTTTTTGGACTTTTTAAATTATGTCACA